TTTTTCAAATGAGATGGAGTCTCACTGTGTTGCCCATCCTGGAGTGCAGTGGCATGACCTCAGCTTACTGCAACCTCTGACTCCTTGGTTCAAGTGATTCTTCTGTTTCAGCCTCCCAAGTAGCTGAGTTTATAGGCACCCACCACCCGGCCTGGCTAATTTTTGTATTTTTAGTAGAAATGGGGTTTCACCATGTTGGCCAGGCTGGTCTAGAACTCTTGACCTCCGGTGATCTGCCCACCTCAGCCTCCCAAAGTGTTGGGATCACAGGCGTGAGCCACTGCGTCAATTCTTTATCAATCCTTAGAGAAAACAATGTTACCAGAAAGATCAACAAGTTGTACCACTCAGTTCAGCAGCATGAATCAGAAATGTTTTAAAGCTATCTGATAGGATCACTGCTGCCCTAATTGTTCAAAGAACCATTGCACACAAAGAGGGAGTTTCTGTTTTAACTCAAGAGGGAAAAAGAAAAGGTTCATGTGATACTTCTTATCTCTTGTATATAAAAGTCAAGATGTGTACAGTTTTTGCTGGCTGTTCCAGGGAGGCATTTCATTGCACATAGCCAACGATTACAGGAATTAAATCTACACAGTTACCAGAGTGAACTTTGCTGTGATTCATATGAGGCTTTTCACACCAGAAGGGTCTGCCAGCAAGTTTGAAGAATGGGGGCAAAACCATCTGAGGCCACATTCCAGGCTTGGCAAAGGGAAGGCAGTGGTGGAGTAAACATCTTGAGAATGAGACCACAGCACCCTGAGCTCAGGCCTCGTTTCACCCTGGAGGGATCCTCAGATGTCAGGACTGCACTGAGACCGTTGCCCTGGATGAGGGAGGCTCCAGTTTATGTGACTGGGACACCTCAGGCTGTATGGTGCACAACCTGTACAACAGCACACCTTTCCATCCTCCCTGTGTCGCCCTTGCCCAGGGTCTCACTGCTCTCACTTACCGATGAGTCTCCTTACTGGTCTCCTCGTCTCCACTTTGACCTTGTGCTAGCCATCCTCTGCTCTGCCATCAAAGAGGAACACCCAAAATGTAGGCCCGATCTGTTTCTTGGCAGCTTAAAAATTTTGTGCTGTTTTCCCATTGACTACAAGATCATATCCACCTTTCTTAGCATGAGCTATGAGGCCTCTCAGAAGAGGACTGTGTCCCCTTGCATGGTTTTCTCTCTTTTTACCCTCTGAGGATGCTCTGTGCTCTGGTCACCCTGGACCACTTCAGCATGCCCTCACACATGCTGTGTTCTTTTGGGTTTCTTTGCCTTTGCCTACTCTGTTCCATCTGCTTGCAGTGCCCTTCCCTAACTTGCCTGCCTAGTGAACTCTTACTTATCCTTATATCCAATCTCTCTAGCCTCCCCTGACACTTCTTTTTTTTTCTTTCTTTTTTTTTTTTTTTTTTTGTTTTTAGGTAGTTTTTTTTTTTTTTTTTTTTTTTTTTTGAGACAGAGTCTTGCTCTGTCACCCAGGCTGGAGTGTAGTGGTGTGATCTCAGCTCACTGCAACCTCTGCCTCCCGGGTTCAAGCAATACTTTTGCCTCAACCTCCCAAGCAGCTGGGACCATAGGCACGTGCCACCATGCCCAGCTAATTTTTGTATTTTTAATAGAGATGGGGTTTCACCATTATGGCCAGGATGGTCTTGATCTCTTGATGTTGTGATCTGCCTGCCTTAGCCTCCTAAAGTGGTTTTTTTTGTTGTTGTTTTTTGAGACAGAGTCTCGCTCTCTGTCCCAGGCTGGAGTGCAATGGTACGATCTCAGCTCACTGCAACCTCTGACTCCTGGATTCAAGCAATTCTCCCGTCTCAGCCTCCCAAGTAGCTGGGGTCACAAGCACCGCTACCAGGCCTGGCTAATTTTTGTATGTTTAGTAGAGACGGGATTTCACCATGTTGGCCAGGCTGGTCCCAGCCACTTGGGACCTCTGGTGGTCCACTTGCCTTGGCCTCCCAAGTGTTGGAATTAGAGGCATGAGCCACCATGCCTTTATATTTTTACCTCCATGCCAATATATTTCATTGTCCCTTTCTTAAGAGTGCTTAGTTTTAGTACCTTGGGTCAATGGCATGTGTTTGGGTTGGGGGTACTGGGAATAATTGTTTAGAATTATTGGAGCATGGTGATATAAAAAACCAAGTTTTCACTGGTTTTGTTATTATTTTTAAATCTCCTTCAGACAGTGCCTGTATTGCCTGAGCTCAGCAGAGACTGCTCTCACCACCTGCCCCCTTGGTGTGCCATTGACTAGAAAATCACTTCTTGACATTTTGCCTTCATCCTAAGATTTGAAGTCCTCAAGGCAGTCCTGTGTCCTTTTGGGCATCCTCAGTACCCAGCTTGATGCCTGAGATGAAGCAGGTGCTGCTTCTAAGCACATCCCACAGTCCCCAAAGGAGTCCCACACTATATCCCTAGGAGTTAGACTCAAAAGCAAAGGCCTTACCGTGGCCTACAGGACGCTATCCAATACAGCCCCTTCTACTTCCAGACCTCTGTATCTACTCACTCTGCTCTATTCATAGTGGCCTTGTTGCTTGTGAACAGGCTCAACACACTCCCACCACAAGGCCTTCACGCTGGCTCTTCCATCTGCCTGGACCCAGAGCTTGCTTCTTCTACTCTTTTAGGTCTTTGCTCATTTTCTCAGTGAGGCCTCTCCTAAGCATCCTATTGAAAACTGCAAATCTTTCACACCTGCCCCAGCACTCCCTGTCCCCTTTCTTGTTTAATTCTTCTCCACAGCATGCATCACCGTTGAACACACTATCCATTTTACTTATTACCTGCCTCTCCCCACCAGAACATCCACACCATGAGGGCAGTCTGACACTGCACCCCCAGGATGCCTGGCTAACAGTTTCTGCCTGTGCCTGATAACGGAGGTCTGATGGGCTCCTTCTACTGCAGGCCAGATCAGGGGCTGGAGTGAAACGGAATGAATTGATTTAAGCCTATGGCTCTGGCATACTTCTTCTGAAGTCACAGGGGAATTCACATCACTCTGTGTGACCTCTGTCCTACCCCATTTATGTGAGGGTGGTGAAAAGCACGTTGAAATGCAAAGGGTAGGTAGCCTGGGAGACTGACAGAAAATGCTGTGTACATGTGGTTTTTATAATGAGATATGCAGCTTGTTCCCGAAGCCAAGCACATTTCACATGCTAAACCTTTCCGCGAGCGAAACAGCACAGCTCCCAGGACAGTTTGGTAGGAAACGCCCATGTAGGGAAAGCCAGAAATGTTTGGGAACTGAGCCTGGGATCTGGAATCCAGGTTTTTCTCTAATGACCTTTGCTCCTGTCACTCTGTCTCCCATAGGAGCACGTGCCCACCTGGCTTCAGAACACTCACATCTACAGCTGGCCCAAGAATAAAAAAAACATCCTGCTGCGGCTGCTGAGGGAGGAAGAGTATGTGGCTCCTCCACGGGGGCCTCTGCCCACCCTTCAGGTGGTTCCCTTGTGACACCGTCCATCCCCCGAAGACTGGGGCCAGGCCATGTTTGGGCCCCTCTTCGGACAGTGTTCTAGCTGAGGCTGGTTGGTAGCACTCCTGGCTGTTTTTTTTCTCTGTTCCTCCCCAGGAGGCCCGCTGGCCCCCAGGAAACCTGTTGTGCAGAGAGCTTTTCCCTGGAGACCTCCACACACCCTGGCTCTGAATTGGAGTCTACGGCTGCTCTGCATTCTCTGCTTTAAAAAAAAACAACCCATTGCAGGTGCCAGTGTCCCACATGTTCCTCCTGACAGTTTGACATGTCCATTCTGGGCCTCTCAGTCCTTAGCAAGTAGATAATGTAAGGGATGTGGCAGCAAATGGAAATGACTACAAACACTCTCCTGTCACTTCTGGCCACTTTTATGAGTTAGCCAGATGCTTATATCTCCTCGGAGCAAACTGATTCGTGTACAAATAATAAAATGTTTACTCTTTTGTAAGATTATGTTTTACTTATCTCAAAGGAGATAGATACATATAATTTATAATGATATGGGCAGTTGCTTCCAGGGACATCAACGAAGCTGCTTAGATATAATATTAAACAGACCACTCTCTATTAAAGGATTAAAGCCAGATAGTTAAACAACCATTTTTTAAACCATAATCATGGAAGCTTTATTCTTGCAGTAAAGATTTTTAGGCTGGGCTTGGTGGCTCATGCCTGTAATCCCAGCACTTTGGGAGGCTGAGGCAAGCAGATCATTTGAGGTCAGGAATTTGAGACTATCCTGGCCAACATGGTGAAACCCCACCTCTGCTAAAAATACAAAAAAACTAGCCGGGCATGGTGCCTGTAATCCCAGCTACTTGGGAGGCTGAGGCAGGAGAATTGCTTGAACCCGGGAGGAAGAAGGTGCAGTGAGGATGAAATCGCGCCACTGCACTCTGGCCTGGGAAACAGAGTGAGACTGCCTAAAACAAAAACGAAAACAAAACAAAAAAAGATTTTTAACAAAACAACTTTGTACAGCATACAACCATGATTCTAAATAGTACGCTTATGGTTCTCAGGATCTGACTACATAGGTAAAAACATTTGTGTATCTGTATGAAGTAATGGGGGATGTAAGCTAGAATTGTAGTCTGTTTTCTAATCTTGGTTCCACCACCAACTACTGTGTGACCTTTAGCAAGTCCTTTCACTTTTCTTAGATTGCAGGGACTCATTTATAAAATGACATGGACAAAAGCATCTCTAATCACTCTAAAAGCTTTGATGTCTAGAACCTAAATTCTAAATACTCTTTTGAGGAGTGACTGACTTTTCATTTTCATAATTATGTCTCTCAGAGGACAAATTTACATTTTTTTTTTTTTTTTTTTTTTTAGATGGAGTTTCACTCTTGTTGCCCAGGCTGGAGTGCAATGG